GTGTTCGGCAGAGCTCTACGGAACCTTCTCCAAGGCAACAGTCTGAATTGCCGCAGGATCTGGCCTCGCACCTGCCCGCCTCACCGCGGCTCAGACCGCGGGGCCTGAGCAGCTCGGTGCCAGAGCCCCCGAGCCCGCCGCCGCCCTCGCCGCCGCCGCCCTCGCCGCCGCCGCCGCCTTCACCGCCTCCACCCAGCCCGCCGCCGAGCCCTTCCCCGCCCTCGCCGCCTCCGCCCTGGCTACCACCGCCCACGCCGCCGCCGCCATCGCCCCTCGATTGTCCGACCCTTTACGCGTCAGGGAGGTCAGACGCCATGGCTGAATTGAACAAATGGTGCAGCCAGCTTGTCACCAATATTGACGGACCCTGCTCAAGCTTTTATGCCGTCAATCCTATTGGGCTTCCATACCACAGGTACTGCCATGACAACGGATCCGGGGGATGCTATGGCGGCGAAAAATTTCTTTGCACTCCGCCTTCCGCACCTCCTCCCTCGCCGCCACCGCCGTCGCTGCCGCCGTCGCCATTGCCCTCACCACCACCGCCCTCTCCGCCTCCCTCGCCGCCGCCGCCGTCCCCGCCGCCGCCGTCCCCACCGCCCTCGCCGCCGCCCTTCCCGCCACCCTCACCGCCGCCTCCGCGCCCACCGCCTTCACCGCCGCCCTCACCGCCGCCACCCTTGCCGCCGCCACCGAGTCCTCCCCCGCCGCCGCCGCCGCCACCATCTCCACCGCCATCGCCTCCTCCGCCAAGCCCGCCACCCTCACCTCCACCGTCGCCGCCACCACCTTCACCACCACCGTCGCCGCCACCATCCCCGCCTCCTTCCCCGCCGCCGCCGCCGCCGCCGCCTTCACCGCCGCCGCCTTCACCGCCGCCGCCGCCACCGCCCTCGCCGCCACCGCCCTCACCACCACCGTCGCCGCCACCATCCCCGCCTCCTTCCCCGCCGCCGCCGCCGCCGCCGCCTTCACCGCCGCCGCCTTCACCGCCGCCGTCCGCATCGCCCTCACCGCCGCCGCCCTCGCCGCCTCCGCCTTCACCGCCGCCGCCCTCGCCGCCGCCGCCCTCGCCGCCGCCGCCGCCTTCACCGCCTCCACCCAGCCCGCCGCCGAGCCCTTCCCCGCCCTCGCCGCCTCCGCCCTGGCTACCACCACCCACGCCGCCGCCGCCATCGCCCCTCGATTGTCCGACCCTTTACGCGTCAGGGAGGTCAGACGCCATGGCTGAATTGAACAAATGGTGCAGCCAGCTTGTCACCAATATTGACGGACCCTGCTCAAGCTTTTATGCCGTCAATCCTATTGGGCTTCCATACCACAGGTACTGCCATGACAACGGATCCGGGGGATGCTATGGCGGCGAAAAATTTCTTTGCACTCCGCCTTCCGCACCTCCTTCCTTCGCCGCCACCGCCGTCGCTGCCGCCGTCGCCATTGCCCTCACCACCACCGCCCTCTCCGCCTCCCTCGCCGCCGCCGGCGAACGGCGCCGCCGGGGGTCCAAACCGCCATGGCCGCCACTCTTTGGACCAATCCTAACGGCC